TCCCTCCCAGTGAAGGGGAACCTTAAAAACCACGGAATTCCAATTTCCCTCCCAGTGAAGGGGAAGCTCCACCCTACTCTGCCTGGGTGACCTGGACAGCTTACCTAGTAAAGTATAATATATTTTTAACGTGACATTAATAGTTTTAACATGACATCAACATTGGTAGTTAATGTTTAAGTTTAAAACTGCAGTTAAAAGTGAAAACTGAAAATCCTTCCTTGCTTTTGTGATGACGACACAACTCGTGTGAGTGTTTCCTTTTCTGAGCTTGTTCTGGCCTGAGCCGTGTGGCAGTTCTGAGAGCTGGGCTGAGCTTTTCTCGTGCTCCTGCTGGAAAATTCTGCCTTTTAACTGCAACCCCTCTGTCCCAAAGGCCACCTCTTGCCCAGGTCAGTGTCCTCCTTCCTGTGCTGCCGCTCTCCATCTGCACACTACAGCACCCAGCCCCCCAACACGAGCGGGGCCCAGCCCCAGCAATGGCACACGCTGGACCCTGAGCTGGAGGAGATCCTGATTCCCAGGAAACTTTCCATCAGCCCCTTGGAGAGCTGGCTCACAGTGAGGTACTCCCTCCCCAAAGCTGAGCAGGCTCAGGAAGAAGCGAGCCATGAAATCCCCCAGGCCTCAGAGTGTCCCCCTGCTGCTGGGCCAGGGGATGTGGAGGAAGGAGAGGGAACTCCGAGTGACAAAGTGCAGTGCAGGAATGTGCTGAAGATCCGAAGGAGGAAGATGAACAGGCACAAGTACAGGAAACTGCTCAAGAGGAGGAGGTTCATCCGCAGGAGGATAAAGGAGGGACGCAAGAAGAAGCGTCAGGTGAGCTCAGGGGAGGGGGAGTTCCCTGACAGAAATGTGCTCACACATCAAACCAGCCTCAGTTAGGTGCTGGATGATGGATTTAAATGGATTTAGGGAAAAAATGAGCCTGAATGAACTCGGCATTTAGGCTCAAACTGTGCCAGGGGAGGCTCAGGTTGGACAGCAGCAGGAATTTCTCCATGGAATTCTGCATTGGAATTGCTCAGGGAGATTTGGAGTCTCCATCCCTGGAGGTGTCCAAGGAATGCCTGGGTGTGGCACTCAGTGCAGGGTGACAGGGTGACCATCAGCTGAACTCAGTAATCTTGGAGATCATTCCCAGCCTCAGTGATTCTGTGATCCCAAACATAAATACAATCAACTTTTCTTCCCTGACAGTAATTTACAGGCGTGTGTGATTAATGGGGATGAATTTTAGCATTTGTGTGAAGGGTGAATTCATGTGTCTACCCTGGATCAGGGAGACTGCTGTAATCTGAATTTCTTGCCTGTCTTGCCACCAAGCTCAGGTGCTTTTTACTCTGTTTTTTATGTTGAAATCTTTTACTTCTTTTCATAGAAGGGTGAGGGAAGACTTGGGGGTTTGTTCAAGCTGGGAAATTCTCCTTCAGCACTGCCTTTCATGGGATATAATTTAGTTCATTCTCTAGGAATTCTCACCTTGCCCAGATGCAAATTTGAGTTAATTGTAATTCCACTGCTTCAGATTTGCAGTGAGCTCTGTAAAATCCTCTTATTTTCCTCACCATTTCATTCCACCTTCTCAGTTTTCCTTGCACAGGACTTTTAAAATGATTCTACCAAAATCCTTGTGTGTTTTAATATCTTCTGATGTATTTTCTGCAGTAAAATTCAATATTTTGACACTTAAAACCTTTGTTTCCTTTATGTGTGTTACACCCTTGGGACACTTGGGCAGTGGCTGTTGCTTCTAAGCTGTGTTACCTTTTTTTTTTTTTTTTTTTCCCTTCTGTTTTAGGTAAAATTTGAGAAAGATTTGGAGCGTGTCTGGAAAAAAGCTGGCTTGAAAACTGCTCCTGCAGGGTGGCAAACCCCCAAGATATTCCTGAGGAGTTCCAAGAGATAAAAAAAAAAAAAAAAGCACCTGTCACAAATTTTAACTTGCAATTGTAATTAAAAAAAAAGAATATTTAAGTATGTCCATGACATTTAACCTTTCTCTGATTGTGATGAAAATAATAGGAAGGAGTTTTCCAAGGACAAGCTGGCAGCTTTTCCTCCCCAAAGGAGAACTGTGAGTTTTTTTCTGGTGTCCTGTGGTCATTGCTGAATTTTTGAAATCTCTCCTTGAGATGAGACTGAACCTAAAAAAAAAAAAAAAAAAAAATCAAGTGTGTGAGATGGGATCAGTGAAAGAATTCCTGTTGTTTATATGGCACAAACTTTGGAAAAATTTACATTCTTTCACAGCCTCACTGCAGAAAAGTTGGGGTTTTCCTAAGAGTTGTGTTGGGATGGGAATTGGATCAGAATTCCTTGGGATTTACCTGCAGGAGTTTTTGTTGTGTCTTACCTGGAGCCTTGGTGTGCCTTGGGCATTGTGTGTGCATCTTTAAAAGGCACTTTGATTTTTGTGTTCTATTTTGTGCTAATAAAAAAAAAAAAAAAAAAGGTTATTTTTGTCTTTGACTGATCCCTGTCGTGGAGAACATCCAGATAATTGGTCAAAGTAGAAACTCAGAGCTAATTATTCATTAACTGCAAAAATTTTTGTGCCTGGGACAAAGCTGATACAATCAGCTGGTTTTGCATGGTTGAAGGGAGTTGTGAAAGCTGTGAAAAATAAACCCTGAGAGGGGACTTTTAATCTGGGTTCTGCTTTGGGTTCTGCTTTTCTTTGTGGGGTTTGAGGCAGTTCTGGGTGCTTTAGTGGGATTTAATTTCTGTATTTTATAAGAGATGGGGTGAGATGAAGGAGAAAAGAATGAGCTCCTTCAGGCTGGGAAACTCCTCGAAAATTATTCCCTTTTTTTTTTTTCTGCTAGGAGAGAATAAACTGAAAGGGAAGAAAATAATCTGTAGAAATCATTGCTTCAAATCCTCCCAGGCAGAAATTCTTTCCCAACATCTTCAATCTCTCAGGATTTGTGTTTTCCTTGTGTAAAAACTCTTTGTATTCCAAACTTTTACACCCCAGGGTTGTGTCAACTTCCTTCAATGGAATTTGAAACTCACTTTAATGAACAAGCAGAGAGATGGAAAAGTGCCCCTGATTTTCTGTAGAGGGAGCCTGAGTCCAGGATATCCTCACCAAGATTTTTTTTTAGGAGCTGCTCTTCCTCTCCAAAATATCTTTATCCCAATGAATCTGCACACTTAACAAAGGTTTATGTGCATGTGTGGGGCTGTGGTAACAAAAAAAAAAAAAAAAAAAAAGGCTGCAAACAGGAAAGCTTCGACTTAAAAATTAAAATATTGAAGATTTTCATTGTTTTGCTGTTCTGAGAGGAAACCAGACAAATTCCTGGTGTTCATTACAGAGCTTGGTGATTTCATGTCGTTCATGGGGCTGGAAAGGTCCCTCAAAATTGGAATAGAAATGAAATTTCCCTGATTCTTGGATTCCATGCACTTAACTGCAGGCAGCAAGCTCAGCTGGAGAGAAGAAATTCAGGAATTTTCTCTCAGTGATGAGGTTTGAGCTGGATTGAGTTGGCTCTAAAATAGGAAATCAGCTGACTTGGAGGGGATGAAAACTCTGAATTTTTGTTTCTTTGAACCAAATCCCATTGCAAATGTGGAGGGTGCTGCCCCATTTTGGAAAGGTCAGCCCAGCAATGTGGTGGCAGTTTCAAAAATATAATTTCTTTTTCATATTAACAAATAATACTTGTGGCAAACAGGATTTTGGTTGTCTCTTGGAGAGCAATAATTTTTACCAGAGTAAGAACTAAATACATTTTTAAGAGTTTTCTCCAGAAAATGTGGTGTTCAATGACATCAGCATGGTTTCTTGAAGTGTTTTAGAGGCTTCTGGGCATAAAATAAATTTATTTTCAGCCAGAAAGAAATCCAGTTTAATTTAAAAATACCTTCCAGCTGAGAATCAGGCCTGATTGTATATGGGAAGGGGAAAAATGGGAAATAACTTCTTCCTGCAGCTTTTTCCTAAAAACCTGGAGCAATTTCCAATCTTTCTTTAGAAAGACTTTTTTTTTTCTTTTTCTTTAAAAAAATTGCTTGGTGCTCCATGGTGATAACCATGAGGAAATGACATTCAATGATTCAAGCAGAAGATTTCTGATACTGCTGGGGAGTACAAAATTAATTCCAATTTTTTTTTTTTAATAAAATAGCAACCTCTCTATTCCACTGCAAATCAAGAAGTTTGGTCTCTTTGGTACCAAGGATTGAAACCCAAACGAGTGGGAAGTAAAAACATTTAAATTGTGTTTAAATTGCAGCAGATCAGCGTTTGCTGCCTGAATTAACCCTTTGCTGCTCTGGGCTTTGCAGCTCCTGGGCAGCCACTCTCCACTTCTGCACAGGAACATTTTTTGGGTGTTGTCTCCTGTAGTTTTGGCTCATTTCACATGAATTTCACGTGAATTTCACATGAATTTCACATTAATTTCACTCTGAATTCATCATGGGCTGGGCTGTAATGATGGCTCCTCCTGCTCCAGGGACCTGATTCCAACCAGGAGCTTCTTGTACTGCTTTTGGTTTGTTAATTTGAATTTTTTTCTGTTGTGAGATAGGATGAGGAGGAAGGTAAAATAAGTTTAAATGGTATAAAGAGAAACTTTATTATTAAAAACTATAAGAAAAAAAAAAACAGAAGCTTGTAAAGGCACTAGGAGGAAAACTCTGCTCTGATTTGGTGGTTGTAGGCAGGAAAAAGGTTTGAGAATCCTTAAATCCTAAAATGTGAAAGGATTTATGTGCAAGGATTTATTCCCAGTGTTTTCAGGGATGATTTCATGTGGACAGGCTGTGGGGTGCCCCTGGCTGCACACAACTGCAGCAACAAAAAGAGAAATAAAGAGAAATAATTTTCTGATAGCTGGTGTGCCTAAAATCTGTTTTTTTGGGGCATGTTTTGGGGTTTTTTTGTGTGTGTGTGTGTGGTTTATTTCTATTTGAGGTTTTGTTTGTTGTTGTTTGTGGGGTTTTTGTTTGCTTTGGGTTTGGGGTTTTTTTATTTTTGTTTGTTTGGTTTTGTTTTGGGGTTTTTTAACATCAGAGGGAGAGGACAGGGGGTGATGCCTCCTCCTTTTGCTGCTGGAGGATTTCTCTGCAAAAAAAAAAAAAACAAAAAAACCAGAATTGTTGTGATATTTTTATTGTGAGAACTGTTCTTTCTTCCATTAATAAACTCCAGTCTCAAAAGGGAGTAAATCAGCCAATACCAGGGGATGTTTATGAGTATTTGATGTACAAACCCCCTTTCAGGGCATTAATAATTAATAGAGTTAATAATTGCTGAGCAGAAACAGTGGGACCTTTACTCTGGTGAGCTCATGCACTGTTCAATGGAGAACTTTCATGTGAAAAATCAAAATTTTGGTTTATATTGACTCCTCAAATCCTAGAGCCAACTGTGCTTGGGTGGGATCCCTGATGCAGAAATTCCAAATTTACCAAACCAGCCTTGTTCCCACCAGCTGAAAACCTGGCTGAGGTGAAAATCCTCATCTTCCAAACAGCACCTGGGGCTGACTCAAATGTCATCTTTTCTTTTCACCATTCATGCTGTTCTCTGGTTTCCAGGAAAACATCCTGATTTGGGGTCCAAAAACAACTGTAACCAGCCTGGAGCATTTGCTGAGCTCAAATGGGTTTGAAAAGTGTTTTTTTTTGTTGTTGTTCGTTTTTTTTTTTTTTTTTCCCCTTGCTGCTTTTTAAAATAAAGAAATAAAAATATCAATAACTCCTGTAAACATCTGAGGTAGCTTGGAGCAAACACAGGGTGCTTGGTTTTTCCTGTGGAAGAATCCATTCTTGCTTGGTTTTCCCTACAAAACTGAGGAATAAAACTGAAACAAGGATTTCTGTGAGTCAGAGAATTGAAGAAAACCATCTGATGCATCACTTTCCTGTCAAATCCCTGATTTAGGGATTTTTTTCATTTTGCTCTATGCATGGACACTAAGAACTCCAAAACTGAGACTTGTCCCATTTGAATGTAGCTGAAATTTTCTGCAAAATAATGGGAAGGAGGAGGAGTTTGAATGGACAGTGGCACCTTGACAAGGCTAAATGGAAGTGGCTACAATTTTGTTTGAAGTAGAAAACATGAACTATTATTTAAAAAATGAGAGTTTTTTTAAAATTTGTTCAGTAATTGAGGCTTGGTGCTGCTCAGGCAGGTGTTGTGCTGAGGGAATGTCACTGCTTTTGGTGTGTCCAGATCTAGAAAAAAAAAAAAAACACTCCTGGAGCCTCTCAGCAGCTGGAATACTTTGGAATTCCTTTCTCACTTGTCCAATGATTGGTCTTAAGGATGTGGAATTGTGAGCAAGGAGTTGGCCCAGCATTACTCATTTGGGATTTCTGTGTTTTAAGGGAATTAATTAATGGTAGGATGATCTGGCTGAGCTTTATCACCAACCAGTGAGGAACTGGTTAAAGCTGAAGGAAAAAAAGAGGTGGAAAAAAATCAAGTTGGAGTGAGCAAAGTGTGAGCAGCAGCAGCAGTTACTGAGCAGCCTCTGTCCCTGGGAGTCACGGCTGATTCCTCAGGGACAAA